ATGTAGTGAAATAAGAAATGATAAGATGGACAGAAGCAGGTGTGAGAGATGCAAATGTCACCTGTTTCAAACTGTATTCATCACTGAACTTGTTCCTGTGACTAAATACCCAACAAAGGTGATTTAAGAATAAAAGGCTTTATTCTGCCTCACAGTTTGGGAGAAGAAAACTCATCATGGTCAAGAAGGGAGGGCAGCTAGAAGTGTATGTGAGAGTCTGTGTGAGCAGACAAACAGAGAGGGGTGGACACGGGAGCTCAGCCAGCTTTCTGGCTCCCCCCTTTTTATTTAGTCCAGCCCCCCAAACCATTAAACAGTGCACCCACATTCCAGACAGGCCTTCCCTCCCTAATTAATCCCCTCTGGAAATCTGTCACAGACAAACCAAAGTGTTTTTTCCCAGCGTTTATTAATACAATCAATTCATAGTTAAAACTGACCATCACACAAACTCCAAAAAGAAGAGTATCTCCCCCATATATTCTGAAGTGGTTCACACTCCAGCCTTTGAAAGTACCACAAGAAAAAAAGGAGAGACCTTGATGGTCTTTAGCTAGATTTATGTCCTTTTCAGGTTTTGATCTATTTTCTCCCAGGGACTTTCAACATGTTGGGGACATCTTTGGTCAACTGGAAAAAAAAAAGTTTCTGTTTCTGTGACACAGTGCTCTCTTTTGCTTCTCTGAGCTTCGCTCAAGTTGAAATGCTGCTCCATTCACAAGCTCACCATTCTTGGCCTCCCAGGGGAGGCCATGAGCTGGCTCTGTGCAGTATCTAAACTCCAGCATACAGGGTCTGCTCACCAGTGTAGACTTTCAGGCATAGAGTCATGTTCCTTCTGCATCTTACGGAAGGGAAGCCAAGTTTCTTTTGGTTGCATTCCTGGGGCCCTCGGGTTAGGTAAATAAAGCCATCAGGAACAGCTCTAAGCCATTCTCCCCCAGCCTTGGAGCCTCTGTGGCTGGCTGTGAGGTCCAGGGGGTAGAATGAGCTAAAACTTGGCTTGCAAAGGAGCCAGGAATGTCTCTGCTAAACTCCTTAAGGGTCTCCAGAGAAGGCCAGGTAGATTGAATAGACATCTCAAAGATTCTTGGACAGAATCCTCCTCTCTCTCTCGGATGTTATGCACCCTGCACCAAGGAATTCTGGGATAGAAGAATGCTGGGCTCAGCTTCAAGAGCCCTGAGGTCTAACTGGCTCTCACAGCATTCAACTGTGTGACATTAAGCTCCATCATGTCCATCCTCCTCACCCCAACTCACCCCCATACCACCCTCATCCCCCAACCCCCACCTTACCTCCACCCTCCCACACACCCCCCACCTCACTCCCATTCTCCCACACCCTCCCCACCTCACCCCTACCTCACTCCCACCATCCCCCACTTGCTGTACTTCAGTTGTTATTTATAACTGCAGAATCTGAATCAGAGTTTTGAATGTCATATTCTCACACTCCAGGAAGGAAAATGGACTGTTCTCTGAGACCAGGTTACAAAAAGTTACGTTTTTCTTTTTTTTCTTTTGGGTTGTTGTTATTTTGTTTTGTTTGTTTATCTTTTCAAGACAGGGTTTTTCCATATAATTGCCCTGGTTGTCCTTAAACTCACTCTGCAGACCAGGCTGTCCTGAAACTCCCATAGCTCTGCCTGCCTCTGCCTCCCTAGTGCTTGGATTAGAAGCATGTGCCATCACTACCCAACAAAATCACGTTTTTCAAGGACAGGAGTCAGACTGACAATAATCTGCTCATCGTACTTCATGCCCCAGCATTTTCGTTCATCACAGACGTACTTCTTGTGGCAGCGTGTGCTGTGGTGACCGCCATATCACCTATTTTAGTGTCTTTAAGAATTTATATTCTATTTCCTCTCTTAGTTATGGAAATAGTATGATTTTGCAAAATCACACTTTGTCCTTCTGCATGGGATATACGTGTATCTCTTTGACCACTAAAAGTACTTAGAAAATACAAAAGAAGTATCTGTCGTAAGTCTCATCTTGTTAGGCTTAGCACTAGTTGGGCTTTTGTGTGTAAGGTTTGTTTGTTTGCTTGCTTGCTTGCTTGCTTGTTTTATTCTGTTTTTGAGAAGTCCATTGTCTGAGCTGCTAGCCCAGGGAACTGTATGCAGCACTGAATCTTCAGTCTCTCCTGTCTGCACCGGTAGACATTGGGCCTGCTCATGGGTTTACTCCTACAGTTGGCATAAACAGGTCCACACACATCAAATCTTAGGATTCAGATGCTCAAAAGTCTTCTTGGCTCCATCAGCCCAGACTCAAGGGAAAAAGGCACCTAAATCAGCCACCGCTCTTGATGGAGATGGGAGGCTCTTGGTAAGAGTGGTGGGAGGCAATGCTGTCCGAACAATTCCAGGATCGTGGAATCTAGTCGATGTAATCTCAAAGACCATCACACTAGAGCCTGGAAAAGGATTGGGACCAGGGAGAAATGAGAGGCACAGTACAATTAGTGATTGTATGTGTACACCTACTGGTATTCCATTTAATAACAACCATTCTCTGTAAAACCACAAGCAGACATCAATATCTGGAAGAATTACAGCCAGTTTAGGTGAGTGAAACTTTGACACATTTTAGGAGAAAAGGCAGAAGAAAACTTGTCATAGTTTTTTTTTTTTTTTTTTTAAAAAAAAAAGACAAGTATTTAACAGAGTCAATTCTTTTTTTAGCCTTAGTAGGAGGAACAGTGAATGGTCTGGTTAATTTGATATGTGGTTTTCTTTTCTTCTTTCTTTTTTTGCAATTTTTTGTAATGAAGTTTAAAATAAAAAATAGGGGGTTTGTTTCTCTGCCATTTGGTTTAGGTTTGTACTTTAATGAGTTTTTATCCTCTGAGAGAATTATGATTTAAAGTAAGATGAGTCTGCTGGGTACTGAATGAGAATAAATAAATGAGTCTTTGAAATGTGTTTTCTGGGAAATAGACCATTAAAAAAAAAAAAAACTTGTGGTCAAAAGTAGAGTTGCCTGTATTCGGAGAGAAAATACATACAGGTTAATTTAATTAATGCCTTGTCTTATAATGAAGTCTGAGGGAAGGGACACGGCCCCTTGCTACTCTGCACACTCAGAATAAAATCAGCTAAGGGACATTGTTCATACTGGCTGGGACACGTGTGGAGTAACGGTCTGCAAGGAAGTGAGGATGCTCGGATTCCGGGAGCACGTATGGGAACAGTTTCTACTTGACAACAAGGATGCCCTGATCTGGAGACTACAACACCGGGTGCTTCCCTCCTGACTGGAGACCAGGTATCACTTCCTTTATGTACCTGCCATGAAAGTTCACAGTCTTGTTTGTACCAATGTGCTATGATGACACGATGCAGTGTTGAGAAGTATAAAAAATAATTCACATGAAGAACATTAAGAGGAGAAGCTGGTTAGATTGACAGATATATAAACAAGATATATGTACAAGTTTGTCTTTGTCCAGTCACCTCATAGCTGCTAGTTCACTGTTGTTGTTGTTGTTGTTGTTGTTGTTGTTGTTGTTTTTGCTGCTGCTGCTGCTGCTGCTGCTGCTGCTGGTGGTGGTGGTGGTGGTGGTGGAGATGGTGATGATGGTGGCGGTGGTAGTGGTGGTGATGATGGCGGTGATACTTTACTATTCAGATGGTTAACAGCCTATCTTCCACATATAATTTGATTGATCTCACAACAATTCTAACAAGGTTTCTTAAGTATTACCTTTGTCTTCAGAAGGTCTTATGTCAGGTCTGTGTAGATAACCTAGTCAAAGCTGGGCTTCAGATTTTCTTAGGCCAGAATTCTAAATGCCAAACTAAGAAGGCAAGTTACCACATGGGACGAGACTTTCAAAAGTCTGTGGGGTCCCTAGAGCTCACTGTTAGTCAACTTCTGTTTCCTGAGTATCCAGGCTGCACCCCTGACGTGCAGGTCTTCATTCATTTCTGAAGAGCAGAAATGTGGTGGTTTCTCCAAGGTCACCTTCATTTTGAAAGAGCAGAAGTCTTAATTCACAGGATCATGACCAAGCCAAAAGTCAGGCACCAGTGGCTAAGAACTCTTTCTCCCAGTCTTCCCAGTGAGGGAACCTCATCAAATAGGCTGGTTGGGATGAAAACACCTTGTGTTTTAGAGCTAGTAGGAATGGGAAAGCAAGGTGCTATGTTTACCTTCAAGAGTTCTATGCTCCATAAACACAAAGGCATGAAGACTCAAGAAGCATGAGTGGTCCAGGGCACAGAAGCTGAGAGATGGAGCAACAGCATCCTTTAACATGCACATGCTATCAGAGGTCCCACCAGATCCTCCTTCCTCACCTCCTCCCTACCCTTCACAGTAAGTAGACCATGAAGTGGGGGAATCAGCTCAAACTTCCCTCTACTTAGGACTCAGAACCCCAAATTCCAAATTCCCTATCTAAATGGCACCCAGAGTCCATGTGGCTCCTCCTCCAAGTTCGTGCTCCAGAGAGACACCCCTACACGCACACTGTCTGTGTGCAGAGCCCAAGCCTTAGAGGTGACCATAGGCTGGGGGTGGGTGTTCAGAACTTAGCCACAGGTCCTGGAGTATCCACTCACGCATTTGATTCCCCTCTCAGTGGAGATTCTGAAGACTACAGCATGTCTGGGTAGAGCCCAAGAGTACTGCCAGAGGTGAGCTAGACCCACATGGAGCCCTGGTACAGAGCCCTAAGCATAGACAGGAAAGTCCTACGTAGCCTGCTCTGCCTTCTCTCTGAAAATACCCTTTTCCACACAGTCTGAACCATATTTCCTTGCTATAATTCTCACTTCACTTTGTCAAAGGATTTTCACTCTTTGCAAAAATGAGATATTCGGTGAACCCTGACCGCTAGTGACAGTATCTCAGATCTCCATTTCAGAAATTCCATACTTCAGTGGTCCTTGAATAGTGAGTCTAAGTGGTTGTCTCTTTCCTCTGCCTTCCACAGAAAACCAAGTTCATGGCTGCTGTGTGCACCCAGGCGCTGTGGTACCATTTTGCTTATTTCAGTCGGATGCAGTCCACCTCCTCAGTGGCAGGCATCCCTGTGGTCCTGAGGTCGAGGTCGGCGCTGGCCTTGCTCCCGCTGGGAGGGGCCCTCCACTGCAGCCGCAGGATCCTCTTGAGGTACTTACTGGTGTTATTCCTGACAGTCACAAAGCACAGAGTATTGATCATGCTGTTGCTCATGGCGATACACTCCACCACATAGAAAGCGGTGAGGTAGTGCTTCTCCTTCACAAACACGGAGGGGAAGAAGTCACGCACGATAGTGAAGCCATAGAAGGGAGCCCAGCACAGCACATAGGCAGAGAGGACGCACACGAGCCCCAGCACTGTCCTGCGGCGGCAGCGCAGCCTCCGGCGGATCTGCTCTGTCTGAAAGCCGGGCACCGCCTTGAACCAGAGCTCCCGGGACACCCTGGCATAGCACAGGGTCATGGCAACTACAGGGCCCACGAACTCGAGGCCAAAGACCAAAAGGAAGTAGGATCTGTAGTAGAACTGCTGATCCACTGGCCAGATCTGGCCGCAGAAGATCTTCTCCTGGCTCTCCACGATGACCAACACTGTCTCAGTGGTAAAGTAGGCGGCTGGGATGGCAATGAGGATGGACACAGACCACACCAGGAAGATCAGGCCGGCGGCTGTTTGACACTTCATCCGCGGTCTCAGCGGGTGCACAATGGCCAGATACCTGGACAAGAACAGGAAAGGAGTCAGCCGCGGAAGGAACCTGCCTGTGAGAATTTCCCTCTGGGAGCACTACCCAGCAATATGGAATGTTACCCGAGGGAGAAGCCCAGGCCAGGGCTCTGAAGCAAACCTCAGCGCCACCTTTAACTCCTTCCCTCATCTCGTCTTTCTCATCTGCCCTAGTATTTAGATGGTTTAAAGATTGGATGCGATAATGGATGCCATGTTCCTAGCTAAGTTTCAAATCTGACATATACTGGGAGGAAAATGGTGAAAATTCCTTTTAAATGCGGTAATTATACTTCTCATAGGTGACTGGCCAGGCCCCGGTTCATCATGTCTTCTAAAGCCTGCTAAGTTCAAAGTTAAGTAAGCCTGACAATTCCACCTTAAACTAGTTGATGGGGAAAAAAGTATCCTTTCCAACTGAAGCATGGGCCAAAGTTTTGTTTTCATTTCACATTTCAGAAAGCACTGTTCTGCACACAGAAAAGAAGAATATATTTACCTCATTTTCCACCTGGAGAGACACAGGCTGTTAAGAGATGAGGAACTTTCTCAAGGCTGTATGCTACAAGACCCTTGACAGAAAGCATTTAGACTCCATCGCACAGGGCTGATGTGAAAATCAATTAGTGTGCACGTGGCTTTTTTTTTTTAAAACCACAAAGCATCAGGCAATATAAGATGCGCCTTTTGTTCTCTTCCAGAGAAGCCACGGTGCTACCACAGTGGTCCAGGAAGCAGAGAGCACTTTGTGGGGCGTGAGTCACCCCCAGGGTATGATGGCACCCTTCCCAGAGTGCATGCACACTTGTGCAGAGAGCTCCAGCCTCCGGGAAGGCTCTGCACAGCTGGCAGGGTTGGGAGAAGGACGGGGGTGAAGTGGAAAGGACTGGCCAGCAGTGAAGACAAACGCTTGTGTGTCTATAGCTGATCCCAGCAGAGTGGGTGGCAATGTGACAGGGCCCCGAAGGAAAGCCAGACCAGCTCTGTTCCCTTGGTAAATACCCCTTTGAAGTCATCTTTCTTGGGATTTTGATCTGAAGAAAGATCCCTTCTTGTGTTTTTCTGATTTAACTTCACAAGTAATCACTGCACACTGGGTGAACCTGGAGGATCACTGGTGTGAGACCCCTGTTCACTTGAGCTCCAAAATTCAAAGAAGCTGGATAGGGCATGTTTATCCTCCAGACACCCCAGATGGCCACAGGCTGGCCACCAGCATACATCCCTGGAACTCTAGGCAACTCCTTAGTGCTGAAAAACTGGAATGGGGTTATGTGCATGGTTGGCATCACACATGCATGGGCCCTTTATAGCAGCCATGATGCTGGCTGGAGCGTAGTGCTGGCTGGAGTGTAGCCCAGTGAGAGAACAGGTCTAGCGTGCAGAGGCTCTGAACCCATATCACATCAATACACACACACATGCACACACACACACACACACAGAGAGAGAGAGAGAGAGAGAGAGAGAGAGAGAGAGAGAGAGAGAGAGAGAGAGAGCGCTACTCAGTTATGATTAAAATACTCTGACAAAACCAACTTAAGGAAGAAGGGGCTTATTCTGCCTCACAGTTTAAGGTGGCAGTCATGTTTTTGAAATGACATGGCAGGAAAGACAAGGCAGTAGGAACTCGAAGCAGCTGTCCCATCCACAGCCAGTACAGTGATGAATGCCAATGCTCAGACTGTCCTTTTGTACAGTCCAAGATCCTCACCCAGGCAATGATTGCACCCACAATCAACAGTGACCATCACTGAGACTCGCACCAACAGGCAAAGGGCAGAAAACTGTTCCAGAGATTTCTATCCGCCTTTGCTCTGGGACTCTATATCAGTAAGACGTTTACCAGTGTAAGCCCGTGCTTTCATTTAGGTAATCTCAACCTTCCTGACAACTAAGAGAGAAAAGATGCCCATTTGATGGAGAAGCAAATGCTGTCCCCAGCAAAGGGATAGCTTTGCAGCAGTTGTATAACCGAGGGCTAGGTGCTTCAGCAGAGTATGGGACTCCATCTAAGGTCTACCATGACAACAGTTGTAGCAACTTCTAGGCTGCTCAGAGCATGGATAGCCAACCCCAGCTGATGAACTCACCAGGGGCATCTGTGCTCTCAGAGCCTGGGCGACATGATTCAGTACCGTTGGACACAGACCCTGGCTGTTTTCCTCTGCACCCTAGGCCAGAGGAAGAGGAGTCTCCCAGCATTTCACAAGCAGTAGACCAGGTTACAAACACCTCAAGGACAGTGCCCTGTTCCCACACTAAAGAGGGGGCAGAGAAGCCCTGCCCCAGGGCTGGGGTGGAGGTGAGACCTTCCTACAGCATCTTGCTGACTCCTTTAGGTTGTCCTCTTCTGGTGGATTTTTATATCTGCTGAAATATGACCCCATCCTTTTTGAACACTTTCTGAAGACTCTGATCCTGGTTCGCATGCTTCCCCAAGGTTCTGCAGTCGCTGGAAGCATTCTCACCTCCTGGCTTCCTCAAACACTGGCCTTGCCTCTGAGAAGACCTCTCTTCCCTTTTGTTGATGATCATGTTCATTAAATTCTCCCTCCTCTGAGCTGCCTCCTTTACCCACTGAGCTTCTCCAACCTTCACCGAGAAGGTAACCTTTGCTTACTATTTAACCATCTCGCCATTAGTTCCTTGTCTGGAGAGATCTTGTCTATGTCTTTTCTTGTTTTGCTGTCAGTGAGTTTGGGGCACCTAATTTTAATAACTAATAGAACTCTACCCTGTCAGTGGGTTGACACTGGGTGAACAGAAACTTGCATTGTCAGAAAGACCTTAGTCATTTTTGGAAAGGGACAGAGATGTGTTTACTTAGCCTGAGCCTGGAGAAGTTATAGTGCAAAACAATTGAAGGCTGGACATGCAGTGGGACGGTTAGAGCTGAGCGTGGCAGAAGGTGTGGCCCAGCCAGATGTGCTGCCTTTGACAGGACAGTTCACTCTGGTCCTCAGCTTGCAAAGTTTGGAATACGTATCAGCTATTTCAGGAGGGAACCAGAGTTCCATTCAAGACGAGCCATTCATTTACAACCTCGCTTACCTTCCTAGAGCCACAAACCCAGCAGGCATGCTCCTGCCTCTGGGCTTTTGTGCTTTTAAGACACTTTCTCTCAGTCCCCACAATAGGAACCCTCTATGTCACTCCTGGGTCATCCAAATGTCTACTTAGAGACACCTCTCCTGACGTGTCTAGCTCTCCTACTCAGGCATTTTTGGTGTTTCTGCTAGTGTGTCTGTGTTTTGTGTTTCTCACTTCTGAAATCACCTTCGGTGGTTCTTTTCCTGATAGAGCACTCTCTTCATCCCTTGGCTATAGCTTCGTCAGGAGACAGATGTTTTATTTTGCTTACCACTGTGTCCCCAGCCTTCAGAATAGTACCCGACACTGAGTAGTCATTCTATGTAGACACTCATTTTGAAAGAATGTACATATGCTTGAGTGACTGAAAGGGAGAGTGGATCTGACAGGGGCAGCTGGGCAGAACGAAGAGACATTGAAATCAGATGGCCAAAAGTAGAGGAGGCTGGGATTACACAGCCAAGTAAATCTTTGCAGGGAAGAGTGTGACCAGGACAATTGATCAAATGCTCTAGGATGGAGAGACGGGCCAGGATGAGAGACATCCCAGCCTCGATGCCTAGGAGGACAGTGAAAGTAAGAACTGTTCTGTGAGGCACAATTCATAGCCTGTTTCTTAGCCTTACAATATGACTTACATATCATAAAACAACTCTTAACCCACTAGAAACACACTTGTTTATTCAGGTTTGCTGTCACTTATGGTCTTTTAATACTAATTTAAGAACCATGATAGCCACTCCTTATTCAGTACTTATTCTGACCTCTCATTGTTCCATCCAGGCACGGCAGCACATGCCTGTGATCCAAGCATTCAAATGCATGGAGCAGAAGGATTGTGAGTTCAAAGCCCTCCTGAGCTTTTCAATGAGACCCAGTCTCAAAATACCAAGATAGAAAAGGAAATACCTTGTATTGTAGGTACGCTTGCATTCTCCCAGCAAAGCAACCCAGGACATTAGATTCTCTTACTGCCCTCAAAGCCCGTGGCAAAAAGAGGCAGATAACCCAGGGGAGGTCCCATGGACCTTGGAGGGGACCAAGAGATGCCAATCAAGCACGCACTAACTATTGCTGCAGAAATGCCATTAAACAACGACATTTTAACAACAACATACATATTTGCTATACATTGGGTAAAAACTTAGTTGCCTCAAGCTAAGAAAAATCAAACCTGAAAAGTCATTGGGTTTTGAACAGCACTCGAGACAAAAATAAATGACTCCTGGGCCACAGAACTGAAGTTAGGCGATAGCAACACAGTAAAATAAAATCCATCGGGGCAAAGATTACAAATATCAGTTTAAACAAAAAAAAAACTTAATATGCTGGGGCAGTCAGTCACCTAAGACTAAGGAAGGTCTGGGTCTTTTCTCTCACATCTGTGTGCAAATTTCCAATCAGAAGCCCATTCTGAGCACCAACAGCTCTCCCCAGGGCAAAGCATGACCTGATCCATCACTCTCTGTGTGTCTCATTTGCACCTTGCAGAGAGACATACACCATGTTTCAAAGCAGCTGAGTTTGGTGTGAAAGTGTAATGTGCACTTGAACTGTATGGAGGATACTGGTCCTGTGTGGTGGTTGATCAGTATCTGTGTTAACAGTACCCCAGTATTCCTCGGCTTATCCTGGCTTCTTTCCCCCACAGTTGTTGCCCGATCAGTGGTGAACGGATTTCATGCAGGAACAGGACAGGCTTCCATTGATCCTATTTCCAATAGCCAAGAGCATCTCCTGAGTAAAGCTTGGTCAGGAATTTGAAAGCCCAGGAAAGGAGCCCACATATTTTGTCCTGTTCCTGGGCTAAGGGACAAGGCAGCATTTCCATTTTCAGAGGTCAGAGAGAGGCTAAGCTGCAGGAGTCTGGCCTGGGTGGCTCTGAAAGTCACTAGGGAAGCAGGTACCTTGGCTGACTGTATCTTCTGCTAGGCTTATTTAGATTCCTTGACTACATGGCCCAATGCCCCAGGGTCAGTGACTTGTATTGAGAACTTCACTATACCTGCTGTGTCAGACCAATGTCTTGCCAGCTGCTGACTCTCTGACATCCTTCTCTGGGGAAAGGAGGCAGGGGCTCTGCTCCTCAGTGGTCATAAAGCCAGGCTCTTTGCTGTCCCTTTCCTTAGAAGCTGACCTTTCTCAGGCCATCCTACCCCCAGCTGTATTCCAGCAAACTTGTTCCCTTGCTCTGACTTTGAGCCCAGGTCAAACACCCCAGGGCCCCGAGGCCATGGAACACGGAGAGCCTGTGCTTTAGGCTCTCCGGATGATAAGAATGGCAAATTGTTCATGGCAAGGTACAAGGGAAGCCTGACTAGCCCCTCGGGGAAGCTGTTCATAGACCATAACAAGGTGCTTTGTACTTAGAGTCAAAAGCACAAAGAAGCTTGCAAAGATTCCCTAAAATCATGGCGATCCTGGCTCATTAGCACAAATGTATGCAAAGTGAAACATCTAGGAATAAGAAAGGTGCTCAGACTTGATATGCCAGGGCTGGTTGATATCCATGGGCAGCCTCCCCTTTTCGGAGGAGGAGTGGATGGGGGTTGGGAGAGGACTGGAAGGAGAGAAAGGAGGAGAAACTGTGGTCAGGATGGAAAGTTAATTAACTAACTTAAAGACACAGAGGTTACTCTCCCCAGTCTCTCTCCCCGTCACTGGAGCGGGTCGTGTACTGTCGCATGATGGGAGTGAGGTGAGATTAAGACACCGTTAACAAAAGTCAGCAAATACATGCTCTCTTTCTGCCCCTCCCCTTTCTATTCCAACCAACTCCTTCAGTTTTATTTAAAAGTCAATTAGTACTGGGAGAAGGCCTAGATGAGTTAGGAAATTCCCTCCAGATTTTCACGGTCCTGCAAGAAGTAACTCCTTATAATTTAGTCTTACCCCGTAACACTTCCTCCTACCTGTCTAAGTCGATCGGGCACATCTAGGAGAACATCCACAGAGAGTGATCAAAGACTTCCCTGTTGCCCAACCTCAGGCTTCGGCTGCCTCCAGCCCTGACTACTGCTATATGTCCAGTCAGTGTGCTCTTGATTCTCCTGGATCCCATTTATGGGGAATACAGACACATGTCATCAGCACACGATTATAGGAAAGGAAGGGACAAAGCCAACACCCCGTCTCTCTGTGTCTGCGTGGTACTCACCTGTCAACGGCAATGGCCAGTAGGGCATTAGTGGAGACGTAGAGGGAGACAGTGCGCAAGTAGTTGACAGAGGCACACAGGACATGGCCGTGCTCCCAGGAGAGCTGGCGTACCACATAGTAGTCCATCTCAAAGGGGCAGCACACGATGGCCACCAGGAAGTCCGAAATTGCCAGGTTGGCAATAAGCAGGTTGGTGAGGTTGCGAAGCTTTTTGTAGCGGGCCAGGGCAGTGATAAAGATGAAGTTGCCAATGCCACACACCAGCATGATACCCACCAAAGCTATGCCAATGACAATTTTGGCAGCAAAGAAAGTTCGAGAGTTGGTCACATCTTCCTCATCATCCGAGGTGATGTCATAGTCACCATAGTTGAAAGTGAATGGTAAAGGGACGGTTTGGGCTTCATAGACATCATGTGCAGAAAAGAAGTCAGTGAAAGTGTCTGTGGTATTCTCACCCAGACCCTCCACAGTGGTCTCCATCTAGGGAGGTGTACACCCCTGGAGCTGTCCCCCTGGTGTCTGCAAGGTTGATGACGCCTCTCTGCAGGCACTTGGCTCTTCGTCGGTGAGTCAGATCTTCCCAGCCAGCATCTGAGGGGCCCAGTATCTGAGTTCCATTTTAAACCTTTGAAAGACATAAGCACGCACAATTGGCTACATGTTGGAGCAATCCTTGGATGAGTCTAAAATCATCCTGAAACCTGTGCAGACCCATTAGCCACCTGCTCACGGTACACACAGATAATGGAATGGAAGAAAAGGCCAGTGAGAGAACCCAGGAGAACACAAACCACATACCATTCAGCCGGGGAAGGCTGGAGGACCATGAAGACAGGCTCCAACTCCATTTATCTCCACTCCAATGAAGACCAAAAAAGCTATGCTCTTCCTCAAAGACCAACATTGCGAGTATGTAAAACAGAGAGAAAGCCTGTCCTAAACCCCAATCCCTGTCTGAACCCCTGAACTTCACCTTTGTGGACAGCCCCATTCTGAGGTAACGATAGCTGCTTCCCACAGCTGGAAAGAAAGGACTAGTCTTGGGGTTCAGCATAACACAACTGGAAATTCATAGAGCCCTGAACACAGAGCCCTCTATACAGAGCCCTGCTACTGGAGAGCTTCTCCAAGCTTCCTGTGCCCCTGTCAAAATCTGCTGTAGTCTATAAGCTTGACACAGTGTGTGCCAAGGCTTGTCCTAGTCAAAGGGCACAATCACAATCTGTCACTTAACCTAGAGGGTTAGAAGGGAGACCTGAGAGCAAAAGCCCTTGGTGAGAGGTGTGTCCTTGGGTTAATAGCTTAAACACGTGGGGTTTTAACATCCTCCAGGCAGATCGATATTGTCTGTAAAGATCAGAGCTGTTGGAGAGGCAGCATTATGCCCCAGAACCACACAAGTCAGTATTCAGGTTTCTAGGCCAGCTACAAGGAAGGGAGGGAATCCTGGACTAGAGACCAGCATCCCAAAGAGCAGGGATGGTGAGAGGGTCTGTCAGTAGTGAATCTCCTTCCTGGCTTTTCCCTTACACTTCTCCCAAGGCATCAGACCAGGGAACAGGATATGGGAGAGGATCGGGGTCTGGAAAACACCTTAAATATCAGAAGGAAAGAAGATTGCCCAATCTGAGATCCTGGAAAAGGGAGAAAGTAAGTTACCAAGTTACCCCCAAAGTTCCCCGCAAAAACCTGCTGCCCAAGGACAAGAGGACAAGGCTGAAGTCCCTCTGCACTCCAGGAGGTTCATCCCACCTGTGCCCTCTCACAGTTCTTCCGTGGGCTTTGCCCTTCTCTCCTGGCCAGCTTGCCCCCCCGCCCCTCGACCCCCTCCCCAGCTCTGCTCCTATTAGGTAAGAGGCAGAAGGAAGAGCTGAGAGGCCATCCCTTCTGAGGGGTACCCCTATATAAGCATGCTGCCAACATTGCTCAAAGTTAGGATTTAAAGCAAGTGTCCAGAATCGCCTAATAGAGAGAGAGAGAGAGTTGGAGGACTTGCCTGGTTGGTCTTTCCTGGAACTGTTCTCAGCTCTAGGAAGCAGCCCACTACCCTATGTCCTCTGCTGCTGGGGCTGCAGTCCCGAGGGACCCTCTTCATTCACCTAAGGCTGTAAGTGGGGGACAGTCTAGGCTCTGTCCACCACACGTGGTTTTCAGAGCGTCTCGGGGCCGTCGGTACCTTCGGACCAGGGCGATGATCTCAGACACTCCTCCGGAGCTCTGCAGCAAGGGCCAGGAACCCCTCTGTCTTATGAGGGTCTTTCCGTGCCCAGCTGGGTTCCTGCTACCTCGGTGGCGGACGGATGCACTGAGCAGAGGCTTGGGCCAGCCAGCTCCGCCCACAGCACGCTGTCCCCGCCCCGCCCCGATGTTCCCGCCCATATTCAGTGACCTCCCTCCTACGCCCACTACTTCCCCACTTTCCTCTCTCCTCTGTCCCCATCTTTCACTCTCTATTCCCCACGCTGGGGACAGGCCCCTAAGTCGATTGGAGTTGAGCCTGCTGAGGTGTTGGGATGCAGAGCGGGTGGCTCCGTGTGTCCCCCGAGCACCAACTCTAAGGCGACCCTGCACAGGCTGTGCCTGTCTTGAGCACCTGGCACCTCGAGTTCACTGGCCCATTGCCGCCCGAGTGGGCGGACTGGTCACGGGAGCTTGGCACCTTCAAAGGACAGAGAATCTCTTCCCCTGCTACTCTCCCTTGCTGGGAAAGTACCTCACCCCTGGGCTTATCTCTGCAGCTCTCAGCGGAGAGCATTGTCAGCTGCCTGGCCTCTGTGGTAGGCTCTAAGGGCTTTCTGGAGAGTGGATGCAAGAAGGAAGCCTCTATGTCATGTCTATTCAGCAGCATGACCGGGTTTCTAAATGTTAAATATGAATCACCATGCAGCCAGCAATCCCATCTAAAATACATTACTGGAAAAACAATTGAAAGCGGGAATTTAGGTATGTGTCCACCGATTCCCACAGCAGCTCTAGTCACTGTTATCAAAGGACAGAAACAACCCAGAGTCAATCAGCTCATACAAGAAAAACAAAGGAGTGTATGCATACCTTTGAATACTACTAAGCCTTCAATGTGCGTGGGCTACAATGGGTATAACTCTCGTGTGCACTGGTGGAGGTGTAAAACAGTGTAGCAGCTGTGGGAAATAGTACAATGCTCCCTCAAAATATTACAGACTTTCCCTACTACCCAGCATCTCCACTCCAGGTAATTCCTTAAAATCAAATAAATACAGGGTCTCAAAGAGATGTTTGGGAATCCTGTTATAGCGTGGGTAGCACTGAAGCCACCTGTATTAAGTATTTTCCAATACTGGACAAAAACAGCTTGTCAAAGTAAGGATTAGTTTGGCCCCGAGTTTAACAAAGTATACAGCCCATCATAGCAGAGAAGTTATGACAACCAGAGTGTGCGGCGACCGGTTGAGTTGCATCAGGTAGGAAGCAGGAAGAGATAAACGGCTTGTTTCTCCTATTCACTCCACTTGAGTCCTCAGCCTGTGGAAGGTGGTGCTTCCATTCAGGATTGGTCTTCCCTCCTCAGTCAAACCTCTCTGAAAAATCCTCATAGACATGCCCAGAGGTTTGTCTCTTCTTAGATAATCCTAAATTCCATCAGGATAATAGCAAGAGTAACCAGCAGAAGACCATCCAATTTAATGCCCAAATATATCACTTTAAAATTACAACACCCCATGCTTGGTTCTCAAAGGTTCATGGTCATCTCATAAAACAGAATGTATTCACCCCAACTTCAGAAGTCCCCATAGTCTTTAACAGTCCCAATAGTGTTCGAGTCTCTTCTAAGATGTGGGCAATCCCTTTATTGTGAGCCCCTGTTTTTGTTGTTTAAGTTGTATATTTCTAATTTGCAATGGCATAGGGTAAGCATATCCATTCCCAGAGAGAGGGACAGGATGGCAGTAAAGAAATATTGGATAAAGCAAGTCTGAAACTCAGCAGAGCGAATATCGAACTTTGCAGCCCCATATCTGGCATCTGTTGAGACCATGTGACTACCAATGGGCATAGGCAGCTGTGATGGCTATCCTTGGGTATCATCTTGGCTACATCGACAATTAACAAAAGCAAATAAACAAACCCAAGTCTCTAGCCACACCTGTGAGGGATTTTTAGTTAATTGGATTGTCTGAGGTAGGAAGTCCCACCTTAAATCCAGATCACTTAAGGTGGGAAGGCACATTCCACTCTTGGTACCCTAATCTGTATTAGTCAGGGTTCTCTAGAGGATCAGAGCTAATAGGATGACTCTCTTTCCATATACATACACTAACATATACAACATATACACATACACCATATACATATATATCATATATACACACTCATACACATATATGTGGGATGTATTAGAGCATTTTCCAGGCTCTGGTCCAGCTAATCCAGTAATGGCTGTCTGTAAACAGAAGACCTATATAGAAGACAAGGAAGGACGCTTTGCTTTCTGTTTGTTTGCCCTTGCTCTGGTTTTACTGGCATTACAGCCTACTTCTTTATGATTCTGGCTTATACTGAAGGCTAGTTGAGACATCCAGCCTTGTGGACTGAACAACTGCCTCAAGAAGGTGTGGTCCAGATTTAGGGTGGATTTTCTGATCACAAATGGTCCATATTTAAGGACGGATGGTCTTCCTAGCTTAGGTGACCCAATTAGCTAAAAGACCTCACAAGTGTCCAGAGGCTTAGGTTTTAATTTACTTTTAGACGTATTCAAGTTGACAACCAGTAACCCTGCTCCTCCAGTCCTGTCACCCATAGCATGTGTAGCCTCTCTTGGCCACACATTTCAGTTCCATTTCAGTCCAAAGCTGTCCTCAGTGATGTTTCATGGTCCCAGTACGCCAAACACCCTGGAGTCCCTATCAAAACTTGAACTTTCCATTCAAAGCTTCACACAGTGGCCTCTCGGAAAATCCAATGCAGCTGCATGTTGCCTGGGCCTCAGTAGTTTCCAAGGCTCTCATGGAATCCCCCATGACCCTTTGCATGCCTGTAAAACCAGCCCCAGTTGATGACATAGCCAAGCTCTGCTGTCAATTCCTGATGTAGTGTGGCCTCCTAGTGTTGCTACCGCAGTGGTGCTTGTGCATATTGGGTGCTGATCCTGCAAAGGCACTTCCCCTCAGACAGCTGGTAGTTGTTTCCAAACAGGGAATCTTTGGTGGCCTTTTCAGTTCAGGCTGTCTTCTTCTAAATGAATTAACATCTTCTGAAATTTGAGGCCTTGAAGGGTGGGGTCTTGTCCTTGGGGCAATTTCTATTATCCAAACATAAAGTACAGAACTATACTAATCTCTTTAACAATTACAGATAACTTAGCTGTACCTCCTTGTCGGTAATCTCTCTCTCTCTCTCTCTCTCTCTCTCTCTCTCTCTCTCTCTCTCTCTCTCTGTGTGTGTCTCTGTCTCCTCTCTGTCTCTCTCTGTCTCTCTCTGTCTCTGTCTGTCTGTCTGTCTGTCTCTCTCTCTCTTTCTCTCTCTCTCTCTTCTCTCTCTCTTTCTTTCACACACACACACACACACACACACATACACACA